AAATTGCGTAAAACCTTTTGGCTATATGACATAAAGCGATTAGCGTATACGCTAACCGCTTAAAAATTACCCCCCCCCCCCCCAACCTAGCGTACGGAAACGCTAGTCCAACCTAGCCGAGGGAAAAGGAAGGGCCTAGGGTAATTTAGAAAAAAACCTTATTTATTTAGGAATATCCTAAAACCTCCTAACTTTAAGATTTATGGCCTAATAAATTTAACAAGAGCAATAGACGACGGCAATTTAGTCAAAATACCTAATATCTTAAAGGAGCCTGGACACAGTTGCATTGTTTACATTTTAATTTTCAATGTTATTCAAGAAATAAAACCAGTTAAATGAATTTAACTTACATGATTATTCTAAGAATTCAATGAAAACGACATTCTCTTTACATCACGTCAAATATCTGTTTTTGTAAACAGGACACGAGCTCTGTTATTGTTAATGTTTACGTTTAACTGGTTTGCCCGCGTGGCGCAGTGGTTAGAGCGTCTGCTCTAGAGTCGCGGAATAAGGGGTTGATCCTTACGTCGCGGGTTCGCATCCCACTGTGGGACGTGGAGACCGGTCCTTCGGATGAGACCGCATAAACCGAGGTCCCGTGTCGCAGTAGGTGCTGGCACGAAAAAGATCCCTCACTGCTCAATGGCCGTAAGTGTCGAGTATAGGACAAAATTTGCAGCTCTCCACCGGCAAGTAGTGCGTCTCCATATGAGTGAAAAACTCTCAAGAGGGACGTTAAAACAACATACAAACAAACAAACGTTTCACCGGGTGTGTTCAATTTTTTAAACTCTGCACACATCACTGAGCACGGACTGACAACAATAGTGAGTTGGGTTTGCTTTCTCACATTTTTACTCTGAATTTTCTGGATTATAGTTTTAATATTTTTAATTAATACACAACACAATTTCTACTTTTCTTAAGTATAAAGGATAAAGTTTACTTTGTGAAAATGCAAGGATGTGTCAATCAAATGCGTCCTGAAATTCGTAGTTTCAATAATTTCCAGATAAAAGAAGATTCTAAACACGCTTTTATTATATTTTCGTGTGAAATGCTATAGCAACATCTAAGTCATGATATTATAGCGAAAATTTGATAAAATATCAACTTCAAATCTGTGTCCAGGCCCCTTTAACATAATTTCTAGGGGAGCAACCTGTTAAATACCTAATAATCCTTTATTAAAGTGAGATAACTTACAGCAGATTAATGCTTTCCAAGTTTCCCCACGTGTCTAACAGTTATACGGGTTTATATACCCTTTGGAAACAATAGAAACCTTAACGTAAAATCTAGTGAATACATCCCAAAGGTATGAACTTTGACTGAAATTAGTAACAGCCAAAAGTTTAACTTCCGTATTGATAGCAAATGTTAATTCATAGATCATCAAACGTAAACAATACCCGTAAGACACGTGCTATTGGTAAATATAAACAAATTGATATGGGGGTTAAGGCAGTATACAAATATATGCATGAAAACATTAATAGTGACGTAGTATTTAAAATACAAGGCATGCATGTATACAACAAAATTCATTCCTACTACATGCATACCATAACAACGGGTGAATGCCAGATGCCGTTGCATGGTTCTATAATATCATTTTCCAGCATTACATCTACTTGTTTTCTTATTTCCTCTTGAACTGCAGGTGTGGCTCTGTAGAATGGCATGCGTACAAGGCGTACATCAGTATGTGTCAAGGTGGCGTTCATACATGTACACTGTCGTTCGTCCCAAGGTTTTTGGCAAAATGTCTCTGTTGTTTTGTAAGAACTTCTCAAGAGTTGTTTTTTGTTTTTGTGAAAGATTGGTACCACCGAGAATGAAAGAAATGTCAGAGTTGCTAGCAGATGTGTTTGTTTGTGCAAGTTGTGCATCACATTGGTTGACAGATGATGTATCGAAGTCTGAAACTGTAGCTTAGACTCTGTTGTAGGGAATTGTGATGTCTCGGTTTGTAGGGTGATGCACTTTAATGTAACACCTCGAGCATTGTAAAGCCTTACTAATGTTCTTGATGCAACTAGTTTTAGATTTGATACTCGTGACACAGGTTCCAGTAGTACCTGATCATTTGATTTCTTACGACTAACCTTAACTTTCCGAGTATTTCTGAATTACATACTTTTTTGTTGACCTAGCATACAATAACACATACTGTTGGGGTAGTGTTAGTATTATCAAAGGACAAGGTATTAGTGCTGAAATTCAGAGTAACTTGGTTAGCTTGCATGAAATCAATTTCTATGATAAAAGCATGGTGTAAGTTGTCAATGACACGAACAGAAAATTCATGCATGTTATCCTGAAATGAAATTGGAAGCACTATTTTCTCTAAAACCTTTAACCTTTGACCAGTAGTACTCTTGATGAATTGAAAATCTGACATATCTAGCTTAGCATTTGAAAGATGCCGTGATCGGAAGGTCGTTTGTTAGAATCACGGCCGCGACTGATCTAAGTCGATAAAAAATAGGTAGCAACTGTTTCTTCGCCAAGCGCTCGGCAATTTGAAGTGAAAGTTGCGGGTCCTTCGGATGAGACCTTAAAAACCGAGGCCCCGTGACACGGTAGGCGTTGGCAGAATAAAGAACCCTCACTGCTCAATGGCATCGAGTGCCGAGTAAAGGTCAGAATTTGAAGCCCTTCACCGGTATATGGTGGCGTCTCTGTATGAGTGAAAAATTCTCGAATGGGACGTAAAACAACATACAATCAATCATCCACAATGATCACAATTCTTGTCTTTAGCCCAACATAAAGATCTTAATCACAAGACTTGTCACAACCATAGCTTTCTCTCAGTCAGTTTCTCTCAGTCATCTGTGCAGGAGCTTGGGGGCATTGGTCTTCTGGTTTCTCGAATAGGGGTCCTTTGTGGAAACCTTTGGGTAGGAGTGGGACGCGACTCACTTGCAATGGCAGCTACAGTGTAATTGAGTTTTGGATTTGCCTGTTCATAAATTTGACATTGAAGCCATTGCAGCATTCACACTTGCTTCGATTGTTTGAGAAAAATCCACTGTTATGTATTTGGCAATTCGTCACCCACGCTGGCATAAGTTGACTGCTTCCCTTTGCTTTCTGAAAATCTGTTCAAAGGTTTGTGTCTGTTGCATGTAAACTGCTGATCCTAAGGATGGTTAAGGTCCTTAAATAGCTTTGTTTACTAGGTATTTCTCTGGCAGCTCAGAGTCGCAAGTTGTTTGTTGAAATCGGAATAGAAAGTTTTCTACTGTTTCACTTGGTTTGTGGACAATGTGGTCTATATCCTTGTCAACTGTTTCTTATTTTTAAAGCGTTGAAAAAACACTTCCTTGAAGGTTGCCAAAGATGATTTTAATTTAGAATCCAGGGTAAGAAACCACTGTTTCAGAATGTGGCTGAAGCAAAATGGTAGGATGTCAAGGGCCTGCTCATCTTTCAACTTATATAGTTGTGTATATACGATGAAAGTCAGCCACCACTGAACAACTGATGATGTGCCATCATACTGAGGTAGAGTGACATTCATTGGCACTCTTGGCTTTGTATTATGGTTGTTTGCTGCGGTGGAGGTGTAGGTGGTATTGGATTGACTGGCTGGGGTGGTGGCTAGGGTTGAGGCGGTGCTTCAGTTTGAACACTTATAGGAACCTGCTGTTGTTGCTGCAATTCCACTTGCTACTGAACTTCTGCTGGAGCAGTGTGAGGCGAGAGTTGACCTTCAGCCTCAAGGGACTTTTAAGGTCTGATGTGGCACATGTCAGCATTGTTGTTAATTGATCCTCAGATGTCTTTTCACTTGCAATTCTTGTAGATTTTCTATTTTTTGGTCTTCCTGAGACAAGTGACATCATGCAAATGAGATTATGGGTATTTTTGTTTCTCCACCAGTATCAATACTTGATTTGATATCATTTTAAACAACTGTACACTCTAGGTTTTTTTCTTTTGTATAAAGACAACACAAGAATTTGGATTTTCTCCTCCAGTAAATGACTTAAGGTCTTTGTTGTACTCTGTAGGAAAATGAAAACCAGAGCAAATTAAAGTTTACGTCTTGTATTTTGAGCAACTCGCAATAGAATGGGAGCGCGTCACAAAAATCGGCTTTCCTGCAGTTGACCAATGAGAATTCATAAAATCAGATCGCATGTTAAAAAACAATTTCTTTGTCTGAAAACCTATTTTCAATTTCATTTATTCAGATGCTTATGACAGGAGTCGGTCTTATTGATGGTGTTACAAGTTAATTTCGTTAATCACTTGTATAAACAATTACATAGAGTTAATCTATGCAAAAAGTGTAAGCTATTGTTCAAAAGGTAAACAGAGTATTGGCATCTTTTGTTACACCTACCTTGACAGGAAATTAAACGTGTGATTTACTTATTTACCAAGCAGAACTATAGATAGGATTGTGAAATAAGATGACAAAAAATGTTTTATGAGACATTTACAAAAAAGAGATTTTGTTTACAAAAAACAACAGAAATAAAAATAATAAATTTTTGAATAATTATTTCATTTTCTAGAATTTTAGATGTACAATTATATAGTTTTATATGTTTAACATCAAATATTTAATAAAAATGGTTTTGAATATACAGGGTGGGAGTAAATACAAAATTTAGAATATGACAATTGTCTATATACAATTATAAACACCTATATACATTTTTAATGTAACTTATGGTATTTGTTGTACAAATTATCAATTTAAAGCCAAATTAGTTTTCTATAATCATTTTCCAAGAAATTGAACCAAAAACCTGAAGGGGGGTCCTATTATGGGTGAAAATCTACTATATAATAGGATATCCTCCTACGGGTCAAAGCGAAAATTATTATAAGGAAAATAATTTATATGGTATTTTGCATTCCAGTCGGAACGCTTTAAACAACGTCTACCCATTTTACAAAATATGACTTTTATACATGCAAAAATTGGACTGATGAATTTTTTTAAAGCTGTATTTTGTTTGATATTTTTTCAGATATCAACACACCTTATTGTCAATACAGAGGTAACAAAACAGATGCTGGTTTTATAAATTTCTGTACTTCATGTATGACTACAACAGATTTGGGAAAGGAGAAGTTTCCACGCTACATTAACGAAATTGTGTGCAACGTGGAGCCATGCTTAACAGTGAACCAAAATCGTCAGTCTATGATTATATTTATTTTCCCCAAACGAAGTTTGGGAACATATTGTTTTTACTCTGTTTCTTCTTATTATTTTTCTTCTTCCTGGGAACTTAATTGTCCGTTAATGATCTCGTAAAGTACTTGTACGATTGAGGTGAAACCTTTTTAGGGTTAATAGGCATGTTATGTAGATTTGCGGAACGAAGGCCATTTTGTGCGTGCGCGTGCAATGCGTAAAATGACCAATATACTTGATTTAGCCTTAACTTTTACATTTTTTGATGAAATGCTTTGATACTCAAAATATATAGATATATGAAATATGTAGACAAAATTACATGACCATCATGCACATGCAGGCGCATGCGCGCGAATGCAATGCGTAAAATTACCAAAATTTTTGCTATACATGTAGTTGAAACTTTAATTTTTTTTTTGAAGCTTATTTTAACCTATGTTATACGATATACATAACCTGGGGCAGTTTACGCTTTATAAACGTGCGCGCACGTGCAATGTGTAAAATAACCAATGTTTTTAATATAACTGTAACGTTTATACTTTTTTCTGAGAAGCTTTGATACTAGGAATATAAAGACATATTGAAAGTATAGAGAACATGATATGGTCATCATGCACATGCATTCACGTGCGCGCATGTGCAATGCTAAAATGACCAAAATACTTGATATAGCCCTAACTTTTTTTACTTCTTGATGAAATACTTTCATACTCAGTCTTATAAATATATCAATGGTGTAAACAAGACGACTGTCATCATGCACAAGTATGCACGTGTGCGCGCGTGCAATGCTAAAATGGCCATTATACTTGATATAGCCCTAACGTTAAATTTTTTATGAAACTCCGAATATATATATATATATATATATATATATATATATATATATATATATATATATATATATATATATATATATATATATATATATATATATATATATATATATATATATATATATATGTATGTATGTATATATATACATGTATATATATAGACGAGTTGACATGGTCAACATGCACATACATGCACGTGCTCCCCTGTGAAATGCGTTAAAGGACCAATATATTTGACTGCCTTATTAATGAAGCTTATACCAAAAAGGGAGTTTGGGAGCGTTTGGGGAACATCTTTTAGGGTCCCAGTTACAATTAGAACTAGTTTTCTCATGTACCTTAAAGAATTCTTTGGAAGAGTAATTTTCAAAATATATCCCAACTATCTATTATGTTTGATTTTATATTTGCTTTTTCCAACGAGTTGATTTTGTATATTCGCAATTCCTGCCAAGCAACACTACTCAATTTCAACGTGTGGAATAAATTAAGTATAAAATAATACAATTTCAGATGCTCTACTTATCTCACATAATTTGTTCTTAATTACACTTTTGAGACATTGCCTTGTAAAGACACCAACATAATTAATTTTCTTCTAGGAGAGATGGTACTAAGCCCTTTAGTGCTTTTATTTTAGTAGCTTCCACACGATTTCATTTACGCATTGAAATACACATAACATGCATAGTCATTTGTACATAATAATCTGTCCCTTTCAAATGCTTACTGCAGGAACTTGAGTCTAATAAAATATTGTGGACAGACGTTGGGGAAGAGGGTATTGTACGTGTAAATGTATATCGATAAACAACATTAGGTAATACTGAAAATGTACAAGCACTCCATTTCTTTAAGAATCCTTCAAATGCATTTTTTTCCTTACATGTATCATTGAATAAGAAAAAAAACTTTCAGCTACAAAAATCTCTGAAAACTACATACTGGTAATTGAAGCAAGGAAATAGCTCTCACTGATTTTTTTTAAAACGCTTTGCTTTATTCCAAGGCTGTCAATCAATATATCTAGGAAATAATAACTCTTTTTGTGCTAGAATCAATTTTACGGTTCTAGAATTACACAAATGATAAAGAATATTATCAATATGAATAAAGTAAAATGTGAAATCCTCTGTTAAATTATTCTTCTGTTTCAGCGCATGGAGCTTGTCAGGAAAACATTTTACATTTAACGTTTCTTCGCCGTGCTCCCACTGGCTGCGTCATGATCATCCAGGACACTTCGTTTGGCCAGAGGAAGGTGCTGGCAGATTTGTGGGAAACTTACACTCAGCGTATCAGAGTTGGGTGTAGCTGCAAGCTTGACAAACGATCTCGACTAAAACAAACATTTGGTTTTGGAAAATAATGACAAAACTTAGTGCAATCCTCTGTATATTGGTGGCTTTCATTAAACATTGTGTCATTATTATATACAAGTGCTTTCAAAATCTTTGTTGTAACAATTTGCTTCCAAATCCTGTGCGCATTTTACACATACACACCCACATCCACCCCCCCCCCATATATATATATATATATATATATATATATATATATATATATATAAATATATATATATATATATATATATATATATATATATATATATATATACATATATATAGATATATATATATATATATATATATATATATATATATATATATATAGATATATATAGATATAGATATATATAGATATATATATGACTTAAATAAAGTTTAAACTAAATTTTTTTCTTGACACTTTTGAAAATTGGTTTAAAAAATATTTTCAAATTTGCTTTGTACTCGGCAATTTTGCAAAAAAGATATAGATAGAAACAAGAAGCCTAAGGGCCTTGAATTGCTCTTCTGATAAACTGTTCAACCTATCACTTCTATTTGAAGCCTCTAAGTATCCTGTATATTTAGATAAAGCCTTGAAATTCCAAAGGTAGGTCATCATGACTTACATTTTAAATCTTACTTATCACTTGTCATTCTTTGAGGACCCAAGATGCATCAACTAAGTTTGATGATTCTAAGCCATAAGTTTTCAAAAGTAGGTCATGGTGACCTACTTTTCATTTGACCTACTCCGAAGACCCAAGATGCATCAACTGACAAAGTTTGATGATTCTAAGCCAATTAGTACCCGAAATATTTATTTATAGTCATATAAATTGAAAAGTAGGACACGGTGACCTACTTTTCAGTCGACCTACTCCAAGGACACAAGATGCATCAACTAACAAAGTCTGATGATTCTAAGCCAATTAGTACCCAAAAATATTTAATTATAGTCATATAAATTGAAAAGTAGGTCACGGTGACCTACTTTTCAGTCGACCTACTCCAAGGACACAAGATGCATCAACTAACAAAGTCTGATGATTCTAAGCCAATTAGTACCCAAAAATATTTAATTATAGTCATATAAATTGAAAAGTAGGTCACGGTGACCTACTTTTCAGTCGACCTACTCTGAAGACCCAAGATGCATCAACTGACAAAGTTTGATGATTCTAAACCAATTAGTACCCGAAATATTTAATTATAGTCATATAAATTGAAAAGTAGGTCATGGTGACCTACTTTTGAGTTGACGTTTTTCGAAGACCAACGATGCATCAACTTACAAAGTTTGATGATTCTAAGCCAATTAGTACCCGAAATATTTAATTATAGTCATGTAAATTGAAAAGTAGGTCATGGTGACCTACTTTTGAGTTGACGTTTTTTGAAGACCAACGATGCATCAACTTACAAAGTTTGATGATTCTAAGCCAATTAGTACCCGAAATATTTAATTATAATCATGTAAATTGAAAAGTAGGTCATGGTGACCTACTTTTGAGTTGACGTTTTTTGAAGACCAACGATGCATCAACTTACAAAGTTTTATGATCATAGGGCTTTAAATGTCCAAAATATGCCTCTAAAACGCTTTGAAATCGACAGTCTGTAAGTTCAAAAAGTAGGTCACTGTAACCTACTTTTTAATAAATATGTTTTATGGCCCCAAGATGCATCATCTTACAAGATTTAATGATTTCAAACCTCTCAGAATTCGAATTAATGACCTTAATTGTTTTGAAAAAGATTAGCCATAAAAGTCAAAAGGTAGGTCTAGGTGATCTACTTTTTAGTCGACGTACTCCGAGGACCCAAGATACATCAACTGACAAAGATTGATGCTCATAGGCCTTAAATTGTCCAAAATATGCCTCTAAATCATTTTGAAAAAAAATGGCCGCAAAATTTAAAAAGTAAGTCACCGTGACCTACTTTTGAGTCAGCATAATATGAGGTACTAAGATGCATCAACTGACAAGATTTGATGATCCTAGTCCTTATCGTAAGCAAAATATCAACATTTTAATAAAATGTAATTTTTGGTCAAATTTGAAGTGACCTTGAGACCACGTCTTTTGCCCCAGGGTAAATCCTCGTGCAAATTTTAATCTACAACATATCCTCAACCTTTTGTGTAAGTTTAGTGATAATCTGCCCAGTGGTTCTTGAGAAGATTTTTTACCAACCAGTACTTTTGGTTTTATTAATCTAATTATATCCCCTTGTTTAAGGGTCACAACCCTAGTTTTAATTAAAAAACAGGAGCCCTTGGGCCAAGGATACCCTGTGATAAATTTGACAATAATTGGTCAAGGGGTTCTTGAGTTATGGCCCATATTCTAAAACGTTTACGCACACCGCACAAATGGCCATAGCATTAGCTCTTTGAGCCTTTGGCTCAGAAGAGCAAATAAAATTCATTAGATTAATGTAACAAGGACTTATGGTGACATTGTAACAACTGCAAATGATAAAACGCTGCTAAATGATAAAAATATCATTAAGCGTTGCAATTGAAACGCTTACTGCCATAAAGTATTGCATTTATTAATAGTCATCGTCAACCGCTAATACTAAATCGCCGTTTATTGATAGAATACTAACGCTTAATGCAACAAGCAAATATCTAGTAGACATGATGGACCGCTAATGATACAAACTAATAATGTATCATTAAGCGTTGCAGTCGTACTCTTAATGAAAAAAAAAATAAAATTGTTGTCAATCTTGAAGAGAAACACGCCTCAACATTTCCCTCCATCCGCCAGTATACTGAAACCTGTTCAATCTGACATGCAATCGGAGACAAAATTTGTGACAGGTGTCGGATTCCATAGTGTAAAGAACAAAGAAAACAGTAAAATGGGAAATTAAATAAGGGTTGGAATTCACAGTGAAACGGATTGCACAGGTTCCGGATTAGACAGTTTTCACTGTGACACACTATCACTTGCCAAATCATTTGTATATGCCATTGTGCTACTGAATACAGTATTTATTGAAGTTTTTCTAACCGAGAGAGCTTAATTTATCCGGATATTTGAGAGAGAGAGAGAGAGAGAGAGAGAGAGGAGAGCGTTAATGTTCCGCTCATTATTCGATGCCGGAAAGGGAGTGGGGGGGGGGGGTTCGATTGTATTTCAACAACTTGGATAAACATTTCTTTTAAACTTTTATCTTCAAAACGCTAAAACCAATTCTGTGATTGATTATATGCATGGAATGCATAGTAATTAATTACCTCACTACAAAGCCCTGTAATATCCCTACTACAATTCAATAGCGCTATGAAAACAGGAAAGGAAAAGGGTGGTCTCTTTAAAGAATTTCAGAAAAGAAAACAGTCCCCTATCCCGGTATCCCGTTAAAAAATAACTGGACCCAATATTTTTTAGATATTTAAACTAGAGTGTTTCAAGGAACTCATGCGTGTACTGGTGTGCAAGTCACTGCGCTCCAAAACCAGAACGCCCCAGAGTTTTTTTTTACCGGCGCCCAAGTAATATGAGCGCCCCAAATTTTAAATTTCGAGCGCCCTAAACTCATTTCACGAGCGCCCCAAATGGGCATTTCGAATGCTCCAAGACTTGTAAACAAGTAAAGATTATTACTTTTCTAAATGTCGATGTTAATAAACTTTTATACGAACATTTTTTAACGAGCGCTCCGAAATATATATACCGATCGCAAGATTTATAAACATGTACATGTATCAAGAACGCAGATCAAGATTTGTAATCAAGCATGTTGATGTTATTTTAAAACGTATTTATTTTTTTTGCAAAGTTTATATAAGTAACGTTTTCGGGCAGAAATACTTTTAGAATTAAACAAAGACAACAGAGTGAATTTTGAACTGATTTAAAAAAAAAAAAAAGATTTTATAAAGTCTTCCCAAAATTTCAGTTAAAGTTCTTGAATTTAATTTCTAATTTAATAATTGCTAGAAAGTTCGTCGCTAAACTCTATTTCGAATACATATAGAATAGACTTTAACTAACTTATGTTATAAAACCAGAGATTTTTTAAAATTTCCATAAAATTTATATATATATATATATATATATATATATATATATATATATATATATATATATATATATATATATATATATATATATATATATATGAACGATGTAGGATGTAGAATCAGTATGAAACAAACAAAAATTATCAGCTACATATACATGGTAATCAATTACTAAAGCATATTATAAACAACTGAACATAAGCCAGTAACAACATAACTTCAAATGCAACTCGCGCCCATATTACAGTGTTAGATCGGACAATTATATTTAGGCCGCTTGGGACGCTTATTTTGGGCGCTCATGAAATTGTCTTTGGAGCGCTTGTATTGTTTGTTTATGAAATATATGGAAATAACGAACAGTTTTCAAGCTCAAAAGTCCATTAAACATCACAAAATATGAGCAGAGCAAACACGGACCTCCAAAACATCAGAGGTAGGATCAGGTGCCATGGAGGAGTAAGCATCCCCTGCTGACCGGTCACATCCACCGAGTGCTCCTTATCATGAACAGGAAATAACGGAAAAATCCGTCGACAATTAGTATGAAAAACGTCAGTCAGCATTTGACTCCATGATAAATTGTATTTGCTGACAAGGTCATTGTATCGACCATAGAACCTACGAAATGATGACTTTAAACGAGACTGCTGATATTCTTGTTTCATCAACTTGTTTGTCAATAATTTACCTCGTTTTAGAAATTGTCAATTGTCAACTTCCCTTACTTATGCAGCAATATACCCCCATCACCTGCATACAGGTTTTATGTCTCTCAATTGATTCGATACGCAAGTTAAAGTCATCACGTTTATCATAAAGCTTGGTTGTTAGATTACCATTAACGTCTTTGTCAAGTAAAATATCCAAATATGAAACAGACGTGTCAGACTCTGTGGTATCTTTTATCTCAAGCTCACCGGGATATATCGTATCGAAAAAGAATGGAAATAACCATTGTTATTTAACAATACGTCGTCGATATATCTAAATGTCGAGTTGAAGG